GTACTCTGTATGTTACATGTAAGTACTCTGTATGTTACATGTAAGTACTCTCTATGCTACTCTGTATGCTACCTGTAAGTACTCTGTATGCTACCTGTAAGTACTCTGTATGCTACCTGTAAGTACTCTGTATGCTACCTGTAAGTACTCTGTATGCTACCTGTAAGTACTCTCTATGCTACATGTAAGTACTCTCTATGCTACCTGTATGTTATCTGTAAGTACTCTGTATGTTACCTGTAAGTACTCTGTATGTTACATGATGTACTCTGTATGTTACCTGTAAGTACTCTGTATGCTACCTGTGAGTACTCTGTATGTTACATGTAAGTACTTTGTATGCTACCTGTAAGTACTCTGTATGCTACATGTAAGTACTCTGTATGCTACATGTAAGTACTCTGTATGCTACATGTAAGTACTCTCTATGCTACCTGTATGTTATCTGTAAGTACTCTGTATGTTACATGATGTACTCTGTATGTTACCTGTAAGTACTCTGTATGCTACCTGTGAGTACTCTGTATGTTACATGTAAGTACTCTGTATGCTACCTGGATGTACTCTGTATGCTACCTGTAAGTACTCTGTATGCTACCTGTAAGTACTCTGTATGCTACCTGTAAGTACTCTGTATGCTACATGTAAGTACTCTGTATGTTACATGTAAGTACTCTCTATGCTACCTGTATGTTATCTGTAAGTACTCTGTATGTTATCTGTAAGTACTCTGTATGNATGTACTCTGTATGTTACCTGTAAGTACTCTGTATGTTACATGATATACTCTGTATGTTACCTGTAAGTACTCTGTATGTTATCTGTAAGTACTCGGTATGCTACCTATAAGTACTCTCTATGCTACCTGTAAGTACTCTGTATGCTACATGTAAGTACTCTGAATGTTACCAGCAAGTGTTAAGCACATTTTAAGTAAGTACTACTGGGTATGTACTCCATAAGTACTAGGCTATATTATGTAGCGCTAACAAAAAAACAAAACAAAAAGAGTTGAGTAATTAGTTTACTGGTATAACCTAGAATAATTGTAATTATTATTGACACCAAATCATCAAATCAGGATGTGAGAAACCTTCTGAGGATGAGGATGTTTACAGTCAGTAACAGTCAGAGTGATGAGGGTTGTTGTTGTTGGCACACGTTCACAGGTTGATAATTCTCATGGATGTGAGAAGAAACTGTTCAGGTGAGGCAGGTTTGACAGCCGGTCATAGAAAAATAAACAAAAACTGTTTTTTTAAACTTCTACAAGAACAAGTCAGCCTCAGCAGGGTTCAGACCGGTCTGTACCATGAACCCCACTCTGTGTTTGTACATTTTTATTTTTTCTAACAGCAAAGATTCCTCAGTTTGGTGCCAGGTCGTCACAGTCCTGCACTCCTTCAGTACAGTTTATCCTGCCTTGTTGCAGAACTCTTGCTTTCTTAAGAAAAGTTCTTTTGGTTTTTATTTCCTGCCTACTTCCTGTTTTCTTGTCCACCCATTATCCTTTCAGGATCACTGGTGCCCATATCCAGCAGTCATGTTTCTATCCAATCATAATGTTGATGTTGAGCAAACTTTTAAAATATTGGAAAAAAAAAAACAGGAATTAGGCGTGTTCCCATTTCGGCCGCGGATACAAGCGGCCGAAATGGGTTTCCTCCGCAGGGTAGCTGGGCTCTCCCTTAGAGATAGGGTGAGAAGCTCRGTCATCCGGGAGGGACTCAGAGTAGAGCCGCTGCTCCTCCACGTCGAGAGGAGCCAGTTGAGGTGGCTCGGGCATCTGGTAAGGATGCCTCCTGGACGCCTCCCTGGTGAGGTATTCCGGGCACGTCCCACCGGGAGGAGGCCCCGAGGAAGACCCAGGACACGCTGGAGGGACTATGTCTCTCGGCTGGCCTGGGAACGCCTTGGAGTTCCCCCGGAGGAGCTGGAAGAAGTGGCTGGGGAGAGGGAGGTCTGGGCCTCCCTTCTGAAGCTGCTGCCCCCGCGACCTGACCCCGGATAGGCGGAAGAAAATGGATGGATGGATGGATGGCGTGTTCCCATCTACTGGTTTGGAGTGAATCAACAAATCTACACAAAGCGAACATCAGACATTGACGTTACCCATGGCTGTAATAAACAGGAAGTAGAGGCTGCAAGCAGGGACCACACAACTCGGTACAACAAACAAAATGGAGACAAGTTTTCAAGAATGTGTTGCATTTGGGCAAGTTGTAATTTATTTAACCTTTATTTAACTAGGCAAATCCTATTGAGATCGCAGATCTCTTTTGCAAGGGAGGCCTGAGAAAGAAGGCAACCTGTTGCACTTGTTTTTGTTCTGTGGGGGAAACAGGAGTACCCAGAGAAAACCCACGCAAGCACGGAGAGAACAYGCAAACTCTACCCTGAAAGGTCCCCAGCTGTCATTCGATATGCCAACCTTCTTGCTTAGATTTTGGTTTTAGAAGAAGCCACGTAAAAAGATGTTTACATTTATTTATCATTGAAACAAAATAAAGTTTTCAAGAACCCTCAGACTGCTTTACATTTTTTGTTTGTTTCTTTCTAGTTGGGAGTAAAACATCCCTGATCTGAGCTGTTGTTTCAACCGGTTCTTCTCTCCAAATTAATTGAATTACACAAAATTAGACCCTGAAGGAACAGAGGAAAAAAAAAAACAGAAAAAAGACATCCTTATTAAGCTGCAGCTGCTATCACACAAGAGAAGCTTATTTCAGCATCAATGTGTGCTTTGAAATAACATCTACGAGTTCAGTTCTGCTCTGATTACATGCATTTACATTAGTTTAATTATTAGTTTGTAACAACTTGAATGCTTTCTGAAAAAAAAAACATTCCAAATGCTTCATTGTGTTTTGCGTTTTTATTAAAATTATTCATATGTATACATAAAACCCCCAAAATCCACACAAGCCTCCACCATATTATACAAATTAGGTTTATTTTTAAGCAAACACCATTCCACCTTAAACATGAACCAGAATCCCATGAGCAAAAAAATCAAAACTTTGCAAATTTACAACAAAATTTATCAACATAAAATGTAGAAAGTTTAATAATTTTACTTGCAAATGACAAAAGTTCAGAGGGACAATTTGTTTTGAATGTGTGTGTGTTTGTGTGTGACGGAGCAGCTTGTTTTTATGCCAACATCTCACAATAAAACCAAAGCTTGTGTATTCGGAGACAGAGTCGTCCTTAAAGTGCAAATGAGCAAACATTTCATTACTGCGATCAAAGGTAGTAATTTACTCTGCGTGTCCACAACACACACACACAGACACACACTCTAATTGTCCTCTCATAAAAACGTACACAAACGCACAAATCAAGTGTTCTTGTTCTCAAAAAAACCCCCCAAAAAAACACCAACAACAAGAAAACAGGTTGTTTCTTTTTAACAAATAAAAACCTGGAAATAGAACAGAGCAAAGCATTGTTTGTAGGCAGGACACAGTGTGAGCTGCTGCAGAGTTGGCTCTCAGTGTTTGCTTTTAATTTCCATAAAACTACTCACAATATGGCAGCAGAAGTGATGGACACGGAGCTGTTTGTCTGTGGTCGTGTTGAGGAGAATTTATAAATAAATAAAAGAGCGACATTTAAGCAACATTTACAAATTAAATCATTATAAAACACCTTTTTTTTTCTTTGAGATAAACTACTTTTTAAGCAACAAAAATAGATTCTCTGGTCACCGTCTGTGAGTGAAGGAGCACAACGAGGCCTGACAGAGGCAGTAATCAGTTCATCAGCAGCTTCAACATCGTGTTCGTCTGCTTCTGAGCAGCACAACAAGGCTTCCCTCTCGGTCTGCATCGATACAACACAAAACAGATTTTCTTCAAATATCTGAGGCTCCAGTGTGATTTTACTGGTTTGTGTTCAGACGTATTATTTAAAAAACCCTGAAAAAAATCATGTATTTGAAGCATTTTTTAAACAAATCTCACTGCCGCCTATAGGTTAAAAACACTTGTCGAAGCAAAAACAGCTGATGGATATTAAATCAGAGAAATTTGTTGGCAGGACTGAAGTTGACGAAGGCAAACTGAATGAAAAAAAATAACTTGAAAACATAAATGTGTTTATTAAGAAAAAATTGGACTGTTACCATTCAATTTTAAAGTAGAAGCCTTGTACGCTTTGCTTCATACAGAGGGTCTGGACTTTCGGCTATTAAGAAGCGATTTCTTGCTGGAGGTGTGGCCTGTTGAAGCTTAAAATGGTTGGATCTGATTTACCTAATTGCTAATGTTTGTCCGTGACGTATAGTGAGCCAGCTCGACCGTGAAGGAAGCTAAGCTAAGATGCTAACCGGAAATTTCGTGAGCTGTAAACAATCATCTGATACTGAGAGAAGAAATGAGCCGAACGAGCTTTGTGATTGTGGAGAGTTTTTTGACGTAAAACAAGCAAAAAATGTATTTATTGTGTGAATCAAAATGGACTATATAAACCGACGTGCCGTTATAAAAGGCACTTTCTCTCTGGCTGCTCCACAGGACAGTTACAGATAATGGGAAGATTCAGTGTCAGAAACAGAAATCCCCCAGTTTTCAGACCACAAATCACCAGAAAACCCTGAACCTGTTCAGCCGAACTTCCATGAATAAATGAAGGTCAAATCAGTCCGACACATTTATTCTTACTGACGGTACAAGCACAGAGCTGTCTGCTGCAGTCTGAGCATCCGTCGGGACACACAGGAGTTCCTCGTTTGAAGGTTATTTTCAGAAACGTGTGGGTCAACGTCAGCATCTTCTGCTGCTGACAGAACAGGCCAGACTCGGGGATACGAGAAGCTGCCAGTCTGAAAGGAAGCAGCCCTGGGCGATCACCTCCCACAGAAGTGGAGAGGTACATTTTTCGACATGTTTTCATCTTGGAAGCCCCAGGCTTGAAGCTCCAGTCTGTCCTCCTCCTCCTCCTCCCCCCTGAGGTCTTCCTCCGCCTCCCCCTCCTCGTACAGACTGGGCTCCTCGACAGAAGTCTCCAGGTTGTAGCCCCTGAACGCCTCGCTGTACTCGTAAATGGTGGGGAGGCTGCTGCGCAAGCCGAAGCGGCGCCGCAGGGCCACGAGCAGCGGCTGCGGGACGGTGAAGATGTCCACGTTGTTGCCCATATCGATCCAGGCCAGGCTGGGGAACCTTTTGGGGTCCTTCACCGTCTCCGTCAGGTCCTTCAAGATGGCAGTCGTCAGGCGGTTGCCGTTGACGGCCAGCGTGGTGAGTTTGGGCAGGCAGCTGAGGCAGGGCAGCAGCAGGCGCAGACTCTCGTCCTGCAGCTCGGTGAAGCTCAGGTCCACCGCCGAGACCGCGTCCATGCTGTTCTGGAGGTAGAAGGCCACACGGTGGACGTCGCGTCCAGACAGCGGGATACCAGACAGGTTCACCACGTCACCTGAAAGCTGCTTCTTCAGGGTGGTCTTCAGACTGTTTAAAAAAAAGCAAACAAAACATAATTTAAAGGAGACCATTTATGGATCCTAGAAATTTTTATGGTGTGTCTGTGGGCTATCCAGACCATGTTCATTCAATTTAATGCACAAAATAATTCTCAGATAATAAAATTTCCCATTTTCTAGTTCTGCCTGCTCTGACTTCTGTTCAGAAGAGCTGTTTATGTTAATGAGCTCTGTTGGTAACGCCCTCCAAAAACCTGTTGACATTAACTCCGCCCTCCAAAGCCAGCATTTACGTTAGCATGGCTGATAATAGCAGAAGCTCCGTTGTACAACCATATGAGAGACCCAGAGGCAGACTGGTGGTCGCAGCTTCTTTTTTTTCTCCCTCCTCTGTTCTGCGCTCACTCTGCATGTTGTTACCAGAGCAGGGAGCAGCAGCGGTCAAAATACCTCAGAAACTCGAACAAATAGGCTTTAACAAGGCTTTAGTAAGCTAAACAATAGAGGTACATGAGAAAACGTGTTCATAACAAATGAAAATAAATAAATAATTAAATTGTGTCCATGCCAGTCTTGAACCCTTGTCGCCTACTCTCTGATCCAACACTCTACCCACTGCCCTATTAGAGGCTTGTTGTAAAATGAGCTGCGCATTGCACAACAACAACTGTGACGGCTTTTTATACTGAGGAGGAGGAGTTTCATCCGGGGGTTGCTGGGTAAGGGGCTGAACGCAGGTTCCGGTGGGTTGTCGTACGGCTTGTGACATCACAAAATGATGGAAGTATAAAACTTGTCATTAATATACATTAAAAATACATTTACTTACAGTAAATATGCCCCTGGGTGCATTTTTTTGGTCCCAGGACTGTTTTTTTTAAGAAGTACATACCCAAAGTTGAGTAAAAAAAAAACTTTAAAAAGTGAATTTTGCATAATAGCTCCCCTTTAAAGTTTAGAACATGAACCTTTGATACACTGTAGGTCAGTTTCTGGCAAACAACATCAAAGTTGTTTTATTTCTTCAGCCCTGGCAGTGAATCCTTCAAAGACAATCAATCTTTACTTAATGATACTGAGGTTATCGATTTTAAAGCTCTATAAAAAGGGGTGCCACACTATCCACAAATACAGTGGAACTGCAAAGTGTGCAAAAATAAATAAATAAATAAACAATCCAGCAGGCGGGGAGAGTTAAGCGATCAATAATGTGGAAAAGGGAATTTGCATTTAAATGTGTCTCAGTCTCGGCTGCTTCAGTAACAAATTCTGTCTCCTGCTCTGAAAGTCATCTGCGGAAAAGCAGCAGCTGTTTTCAGTTTCAGGTGTCACCTTTAAGCCAGCCTCTTGTCTCAAAATAAAATTAAAAAAAACATCAAAGACTATAAATAAATAAATTAGAAATAAATATTAAGAGTTATATAAAACGGTGTGGGCGAACCAAAAGTAAACACGTTTCTATATTAGTGATTTACTGACAAAATGTGTCACTGAGGTTGTGCAGAGGTGCTGAAGTGCTGTTAAAAAGATGCATTCAGTAAAATTATTAAAATCACTTTTGTTTGAAGTGTTGTGAGGTCCAGGTTATCAAGCCACTTTAAGCTGAGCTGAGATTATTTTAAAAAATTGTTGGCATCCTTTGTTTTTGTACTGAAATTAGTCAATATCTCATAAAATTTCATTTTATTTGAATTTTTGATAAATGTATTTACTTTGTTTTTATTGTACATAGTTATTTTTTTTAATGAAATGAATAAATTTTTTGAATTGAATTGAAAAAAATGGGCGTTAAAGTTTAAAATTCTCTTGGATCTAGTTTTATAAGCAAATAAACAGCAAAAGGTTACTTTATTTATGACTCCTTAATGCTAATTTTTAAAAATAGTGTCATGGATTGAGGAAAGTTACCTAAAAATGCAGACTGACACATTAACTGTATTTAATAAAATAATGCACAAAGACTGACATGACTGTAAAAACAAACTTGAGGAGATGCAGTATACAGAACAAAAAGGACATACAAAGAAGAGTGAGTGAGAACTAAAGGCTTGAAAAGGCTGGAACTGAGACTGATATAAATGGGAAACAGGTGTAGCTGTTAGAGCAGAAACTGACTGACAGACTGAGAAAAACTGAAACACATAAGATGAAACAAAAAGAAAAGGAATTAAATCTAAAAATGACAAAACACAAAAGCCAACAAAAAACAACATTAAACATACAAATCCTTACTTACAAGTTATAAACAATAACATGTAGCCTACTAAAACAACATTTTTTTGGTAGTGATAAAATTTCATACAGTTTGACATTGGTAAATAAAAATACTGGTGCAACAAATCAGCTGCTTTTCTGCCTTTATTTATGATGCTAACCTGAAAGGAAGAAGTGGGTATAGATAATGGACGGATGAAGGATATTGTCCTGATGCATCTCAGTAATCCAGGTAAAAAATCAAAAAGAAAAAAAATTGTATAGGTCTTCTGGACGGGTTCTTCTTTAATGAAACGTTTCGTCTCTCCTCCAAGAGACTTCTTCAGTCTGAGAGTTTCAGGCAAAATTCAAGCTTTTAAGCCCTGCTTCCATGTGACTGATACATCACATGGCTATCGTTGACACCTAATTAACACTTATTGTTAACAGGGGGTGGAGTGATACTGCCAATGGCTGCACTGTAGGTGGGGGACAACTGAAAACGGAGGCCTCCACCTCTGTTTAATGATGGACGGTCTTTCTTCCCAAAAATGGCTTCTTTTACTCCTCTCTCAAACCAACGTTCCTCTCTATCAAGAATGAGAACATCCTCATCTCTGAAAGAGTGACCGCTGGCCTGTAAATGAGTGAAAACTGCAGAGTTCTGGCCATTAGATGTAGCTCGTCTGTGTTGGGACATTCTTTTGAACAGTGGCTGCTTTGTTTCCCCGATGTATAACTGGTCGCAGTCCTCCTGGCACTTAACAGCATATACAACATTGCTCTGTTTGTGCCGGGGCACCGGATCTTTGGGGTGAACCAGCCTTTGCCGTAATGTGTTTTGGGGTTTGAAAGCCACTGGGACATCATGTTTAGAAAATAAACATCTCAGTTTCTCCGAAACACCCGCAACATACGGAATAACCACTGGTTTGGGTCTGGGTTTGGGGTCTTCATTTTCACCTGAAGGTTGCATGGAATTTTGCCTGAAACTCTCAGACTGAAGAAGTCTCTTGGAGAAGAGACGAAACATTTCATTAGATAAGAACCCGTCCAGATGAATGATATTATTAACAGGAACACAGTGGAAAGTAACTAAACTATTGAAATCTTGTCTAAATCATACACGGTCTGTGGGAACTACTTTTTCTTCCGCCTAGGTAATATGACAGCAAAACGACACGTTTAATCAGTCAATTAACTCAAACCACCCGCAAAGGCCTTTAAATGGTCTTAGCTCTATTGGCAATACAAACATGAGGAAGACTGCTGACTTGACAGTTGTCTAAAAGATGACCATTGGCACCTTGCACAAGGAGGGCAAGACACAAAAGGTCATTGCTAAAGAGGCTGGATGTTCACAGAGCTCTGTGTCCAAGCACATTAATAGAGAGGCGAAGGGAAGGAAAAGATGTGGTCGAAAAAAATGTACAAGCAAGAGAGATAACCGCACCATGGAGAGGATTGTGAAACAAAACCCATTCAAAAATGTGGAGCAGATTCACAAAGAGTGGACTGCAGCTGGAGTCAGTGCTTCAGGAACCACCACACACAGATGTACGAAGACCTGCTTCAGCTGCCACATTCCTGGTGTCAAGCACCTGGGCTAAAGACAAAAAGGACCGGACTGCTGTTGAGTGGCCCAGAGGAAGGAGGAGAGGCACAGAATCCACGTTGCTAGAGGTCCAGTGTAAAGTTTCCACAGTCTGTGATGGTTTGGGGTCGTGTCATCTGCTGGTGTTGGTCCATTGTGTTTTCTGAGGTCCAGGGTCAACACAGCCGTCTACCAGGAAGTTTTAGAGCACTTCCTGCTGCTGAACAACGTTGTGGAGAAGCCGATTTCATTTTCCAACAGGTCTTGGCACCTGCACACAGTGCCAAAGCTACCACCTGGTTTAAGGACTGTGGTATCCCTGTTCTTAACTGGCCAAACTCACCTGACATTAACCCCGTATAAAATCTATGGAGTATTGTGAAGAAGAAGATGAAATACACCAGACCCAACAATTCAGAAGAGCTGAAGGACACTATCAGAGCAACACTCGAGCAGTGCCACAGACTGATCGACTCCACGCCACACCGCTCTGCTGCAGTAATACAGGTAAAAGAAGCCCCAACTCTACATGCTCATACTTTACATGTTCATAATTTTCAGTTGGCCAACATTTCTAAAAATCCCTTTTTTGTATTGGTCTTATGTAATAATCTAATTTTCTGAGATACTGTTTGGAGTTTTCATTAGTTGTCAGTTATAATCATCAAAATTAAAAGAAATAAACATTTGAAAAATATCAGTCTGTGTGTAATGAATGGATATAATATACAAGTTTCACTTTTTGAATGGAATTACTGAAATAAAATCAACTTTTTCATGATAGTCTAATTTTATGACCAGCACCTGTATTTCTATTGATCTTGATTATGTGTCAGTGATATATATCGTTATTTTTTTTTATCATCCAGGACTACTCAGAAGGACAAACATGACCAGAAACAAAACAGCCAGAAAGAAGTGTTGGTTAAAAACAGGTGTTAGGAGAACCTATAGAAAAGTATTTTTAAGCTTGTCCATCTGCTCCTGTACAATGTGCAGTAAAATATGCCTTCTCTATTAGTTAAATAGAGTGTTTTAAGGCAGCGACATGCAAGTCAGCACCTGCAGCATCATATTAGTCTTCACTGTTGAAGGGAGGGCATCTGTCAAACAAATGAGAAGAAGGCTGAAGTGTGGGAGAGTTGTTTATATAAAAGCTGAAAAACCGGAGGAAAATATCCTGCTTAAGGCCCACTTTTACCTCTTTCTTAGACCTGTTTGCTTTTCCTCATTCCTCTGGC